TTCTCGGAAGCGAGCAGGCCGGGCCGGTCTTTGGTGAAGTTCCCCTTCCCCTTCAACCTCCCTCCCCCGTCTCCGTCCCCATGCCCGCAGCTGCGGCCGCCGAATCTGCTAGTGCCGCAGATGACAATGACGAAGAAGAAGAAGAAGAGGAAAGTTCCGACGATGACTCGGATTCCTCGCAGGACGACAGGCCGCCGGACGAAGTGATCAGGGTGAGCACGTACAGGAACCTCATCAAGCTTCTGAACGGCACCCTCGACTCGAAGCGCTTCAAGTGGGACGGCAACCACGACGGCGTCGACCGTTTCGGAGACAAGGCCGCCGTCTGGGAGCCCGAAATGAGGCAATTTGTGATCGCCGACTGGCTTGCCGAGTGCACCTACGAGATTGGCGAAGATGAGACGGCCGACGACGTTCTCTTCCGCGTCATGAGCAAGGTCGGGCACATCCTGCTGACGGAGGTCTTGGAGCCGCACTCGGAGCCGCGGGACGGCCCGACCATGCGTGGCGAGATTGTCGGCAAGGAGGTCGCCCAGATGCTTCGGCCCTGGGCGAACAGCCTTCGCTCGTGGAAGCTGGCGAGGCTCGATCTCATCAAGGCCTTCAAGCTGGCGGCTGAGTTCCGGGAGGTTCTCGACGTCATGGTCGAGCAAGCGCAGATCGAGTTTCGTGCAGTGGACATTGACGACCCGGGCCAGGCGAGGTCAGTGTACGATATGTATGCTGATTTTGAGGGACGGCCTTTGTTCCCCAATATGATCCGACTCGAGCCCGATGAAGAGATTGTTGAGGCGTGGGGGTGGTACGTTGCCTCTGGTGTTTGAAGTCTGCGGTCTTTGATTTCGTGCCTGTTTCAACGTTTTTCCCATTCTCCCGGTTTTTGATCCTGTTAGGTTCATTTTGTCATCCCATTGCTCGATCACCAGAAGACGCCATTCAAAATTTGGCTGCTGCTTCAGCCTACGGGCCAGATGACAGCATGGACCGCATGTTGAGAAAGAAATGCCTCCATACAGCACTGAAATCACAACAAAAAAAAGGATCAAAAAGAACGCCTTGCTTTCATTCAGCTCACTCGACGAAAGCGAGCCGGTCAGATGGATGCCGCGCTCGGTTTCGCGGAGGAAATATTCTTCAGGGCGTCGGAGGCCCTCAGAATGCGCGTTGTGTGTAAAAGAACGGCGCTTGTCCACGACTGTATGGCACATAACCAATCGGCCTGCGCCATGGATAGCGAAACAAGGATCGTGCTTCGTAAGTTCCCCATGCTCATGGCATCGAATAGGTCTGCTGACAGCTCGAAAGCCGCTGGCTTTTTGCCCTTATCGCACATGTTGCACGGCATTGGTGCATTGTCGCAGTTTGGCTGGTGGCATGGTAGCCATTCTGGATGGTGTGAAGAAAACTCTGTTCACAACTGCGTTTGCGATGCAAGAGGAACCTGAGGCTCAGGAAAGCCCGGCAGCGCCCATTGCATCATCGGTCGGGAAGCTCTTGCTCTCCACTCACACACGATGAGGCAAGCGCAGCCCGGCGCGGCAGGGATCCAAGCAGGAAAGACGCGATTCGGCCGTGGGCGCCCCTTCCTAGGCTGACCCTGGCTGGCCGATGACGATTGCGGGGTACTCCAGCGCCCTGCATTGCCGCCCATTGCTCCACTCACCCACTGAACAAGCAGCGATGGCGCTGGCGCTGGATCTGGCGCGGGAGCTGGAGCTCAGAGCTCCAAGACCAACACAAAGCTCCCCGACGCTCATCGATCTCGACGATCAAGCCCGAATGGACGGGCAAACAAACACCAAAGGCAGATCATCAGCCGCAGCTGGCACCTCTTGAGGCCTGCCGAATACCAGCCTCGCCCTTTTGGGACGACAAGCTGGGGCTATCAAGGTTGAGTGCCAGCGTCCGAGGCCAAAGGAATACTGGCCTCCCTTCGTCTCGCGAGAGGCGAAGTGACCTGCTGGGGCTATCGTCGACAAGCGGCTGGTACTGAGAGAGTGGTTCGGCGGAGACCATGGACACTCGGGGACGAGATGCATAAATGCGTCGTGTGTAAAGTGTCACCGTTGGCCTTGCTCTGGCGAAAACCTCCCGGCCCTATGGGGTCGACGAGAGGCGTCAGGGTCGGAGCGACGTGAACAGGTTGGTGGATGCTCGCTGAACCTCCAACGAAGACCTTCCCGCTCTCAGAGCGAACGAGAGGCGTTGTAGGGGACGTAGCAGGGACATTGCATGGAAATCGCGGAGTGTCAATGAGATGGATGGGTGCGAACGATGGATGGTGAAGCTCACTGAGTTTCGCACCATGTCGCGGAATGCGACCGTATGGGAAAGAGGGGGGCAAGCGAAAGGAACAGGAAGGAGATCAGCTCGTTGCAGGAGGAGCTCGAGCTCCTCAAGCATGAGCAGCAGCTTTTTAGCTTCTGATGAACAAGAACAGGGACAGCTGACTGGCCACACCTGATTGATTGTCCTGCCAATGCCCGCCAATGCCTGTGTTCGCCGGGGATGCAGAGGGGACCGACCTGTGACCTCATTCCAGCTGTCGCTACAAATACGGCCATGCTTTCCCCCTCCCCCTCACACCTTCCCCTCTCCACTACACTCAACCTGACAACACCAACAAAGCCACGCAGATACACTCCAAATTACCAAACGTAGCAAATTACCTTTGATTTTCAAACAAGAGAGAGAAACCCCAAATCACAAAAATGGCCGAACAGACCAAGCCTGTCGACGACACACCCATCTCCCCGACGCGCCCCGGCGCCTCCGACCGCAAGAACTCGCTGGAGAACCACCTGCTGCACCGCCCGGCTCGCGAGGAGCTCGTCGAGAAGAACATCCTCCCCTCCTCTCACGCCGCGCCCTCGCTGCAGGCTCAGCAGAAGGAGCTCGAGAAGCACATGCGCGCCGACTCGCTCAACGACAAGATTTCCCACCGCCCCACGCCCGAGACGCTCATCAAGGACGGCGTGCTGCACGAGGACCCGCGGTCCGCCGACGAGAAGTACGAGGAGGCCATTGAGGAGGAGTATGCCAAGAGGGAAGGCGGTGCTTAACTACGTGCTCTGTCATTGCGGGGGGCCTAATCGACAGAGGGGGCCATCAATGATGGTCAAGGATTGAATGGCTGGAAATGGTGTTTGGGGACTGGATTTATCACTTGCGTACTCACACAATATGACGCTCCGTTGCAATGGGCTGTTGCATTTTACTCTGCCTGGGCTGTTTGTTGCGTTCTTTGTGCGTTGCGTCTGCGGTGGTCTGATCGCTGACTTCCGTCTCTGTACCTGCCGATACACGCGTCTTTGCAGCGACGTACCTCCCTGCAAAAGCACCTGAGGACTGGTGCACCTGTCGCCCGGCGGTGGTGAGCAACTACCCAACCCAGAAGCCAGGATGGACGACTAATAGCTTGCCCATAGTGCGATCATAAGTTGGCTTCGACTCACGTCAGATGAGCAAGGTGCCGGTGCAGTGTTCAATTGAGCGAACCGCCCTGCTGCTTCATCCACGGCGGAAGCCTGCCGGCTATGGTGGAAGTAGGGGCTCGGCTTGACGAGAGAGTAAGCTCCTGACATTCAGAACTCGACCGTCCCAGGCAGCGACCTGTCTATGCGTAGTACGAGGCTGTATTTCATTTCATCAGCATTATGTCCCGGTCGAGCCCTCGTGGCACAGCCTACTACTCTTGTGAGCCTGACCTGTGACCAACTCGCCGCCTTCCAGCTGACCAGAAGCTGCGCCTCGTGAATGGAGGGGATAGCCACAACGAGGCTCCAACAGAGCCTCACAGGACTGATATGGCTGATCGTCTCAACGCAGGTGGCTGGCTTGCAACCTGCAACAAGATGAACAAGCAACGGCCGCGGCTCGAAAAAATGCCAGCTGAAAACGTTGTTGGTAACGGTGGCCGCAGCGATGATGTGTAGAACTCAGGCATAGACTTTACGGCAGCGACAACTACACTCACACCTCGCCGCACATTTCAGTTTGAACATGCAACAAGACATGGAGCCGGGGACGAGTACTTGCCTATCAGCCCCGCTACGGCACCTGCGCAAGTGGAAGAAGTGGAGCGCGCCGTCTTACTCCGGTCGTGCCGGAGGCAATGCATCAGACAATGGACACCTCGCAACTGTCGAATGCATCACGAACTAATGCTATAACGCTTTACTTCTACTGAAGCAGGTGGAGGTCGTCGGGAATATGCTGCGCGTGCGTGGCACTTCGGAGGCAGCCGTCGTGGTGTTACAGGCGGGCGGCTCAGCGGGAAGATCACCGACGCCAGCCAACTCCCGCAACGAGTTCCCGGTCCTATATTCGACGGGACCTCATGGTAAGGCTACAAGCTTCCGATGTGCATGTAGTTACTTCTTACATGCGTGACTGGGGATTCCCAGTTGGCAATGCAACGTCAGGCTGCCTCCCAACGACACGCGTACACTAGAGAATTATCAAGTACAATAAACATTTTCACGTTTCGTTTCCCTCAACATTCACCAAATATCCGGGCGCGAATACAAAAGAAGATAAAAAAAGAACACGAATACATATCCACCGCAGCTGGCCTTCTCCACATAACAGCTGTTGAGAAGATGCAATGGTAACATTGTGGGAACCTCGTATCATTGCCCGCCGCGCACGCCCAGCTTGGGACGGTGTAGCACTTCCCCACGTCCATGACGACAAAAGGTGCATTTCTCACCATTCCAACGATCAGCTATGTCCCCCACCAGGATGTTGTCGAGAGTGCAACAATAGACACGAGAATAGCAAGAAGGCACAAAATTTGCACATTTTGCAACCGGGAGTCACATCAGAGGGCAGCGGCCGCACCTCCCGTGCGGCCCGGTCATTGGCGTGCCTGGCAGCAGCCAGTCATCGGACGCGGTCAGCAACGCAACCTGGACGTGCATTACATGTGCGTCACTCGCGTCGCCGGATAAGGAGGCGGTCTCGAACGCGCATGAACAATTCCAAGAATATTAACTTCCATTATGAGATATATGCAACGATGGGGGGCAGGAAAAGTGAAAAAAAAACAAGAAAAAAGTTTGAATAAGGTAGACTGTCTATGGAATTCGAGACCCCGGAAAGTAGTACAGTTACATGTAGTGGTAGCACAACCTGATTTCTTGCCCAGTTTCAACCCAACGCCCGTGGTACAGAGAGTCGCCCATTCCATGGACATGAGAGGTCCAGCTCGGTTCCAATTCCTTCGTCGACTGCAACGTGTGAAGTTCTGACGCCCAAACCACATGCCGTAGCGACATTATTCCGTACACCGTCGTTTCTGCGCCCATGCCATGCCAGATATCCTGCCCCCCTACAAGTAATGAAAGAGAAAGGAGAAAGAAAAAACGCCAGTGAATGCTCTCCGTTTACATGTTATTGTGGCAAGTCCATGATGGAATCAAAAGAGCAGGCGGAAAAGAACGCCTAGCTCTTGCGCTTCGCCAGGTTCGGGTTGCTGTACTTGGGCGTGGGGTCGTAGCGCTGGTCATGGTGGCCGCTGTAGCCGTTGTGGACGACGACGCCGCTGCCGTTCGTGGCGCCCGCGTACTGCTGCTCGCGGATCGTCTCGGCGGGAGAGTAGGAGCGGTAGCTGCGCGGGCTGCTCTCGCCCGAGTAGGTTGTGGAGTAGGAGGCCGAGGAGCGGATCGAGGCCGCGCCCTGGTGGATGACGGGGCTGTTGGCGTAGTTGTAGCGCGACATGTTGTCTTGTTTGCGGCTTTTGGGATAGTGTGCAAGTGTGACAGCTGAGTTTGTTTGCTTGCGAGGGTTTGCAAAGGTTTTTCTCTTTTGGTCTTTGGTGACAGGTGCTTTTTGGTGTGATACCGCGGATGCCTTTTTGTCTGTGTGTATGTGGTGTTGATGTGTAGTTGGAGCTGGATGGTTCTGTATATTCGTGTTTGTGTGTATGTATGTTTGTATGTGAGAGTGCTTGTAGACGAGAGCCGATGAACAACAAAAAGACCAGACCGAGAAACTGGAAGCAGGTTGAGGAGGTTATATATAGAAAGGAAAAAAGTCAAGGTCGCAAACATCGCGCCGGGCGCCCTCACCCCTCACGTAGGCTGGTACGCGTGGACCTCTATCAGCACCACCCAAGCAGAAGGGGTGAGGAGGGGGGTGGAGGGGGTGTGGGAAGGGGGGGCATCACTCCGCCGAGAGGGACAAAGACAAGGCAAGCGCAAGGCAGATACAAGACACAATGGTCAGACCGAAGACACACAGAGAGAGGAAAAAGGTTGCCAAAAAACCAAAACTCTACAAACCAGCCCCGTTAGGCATGGGTGTCCCCGCCGCGGCCTCAGAAACACCCGCCATCAGCACGACGACGACGACAACCCAACTTCCCTGACCCCCCTTTCAGTCAGGGAACAAAGGAGTCTGTCTGTCTGCCTGTGACCGTCAAGACAGGGACACCCAGGTTTGGAATCCAAGCGGGTGGGGTCGCCGCAGAGGCACACACCGAAAAGGGCGACATAGGGCACCCATTGGCTCGTGTTGGGCACGTTTGGCAATTCCAGTGCGAATGCAGGGTCTGCCATTCTCCGTTCCGTCAGGCACGAAAGCCGCTAGTTGAGGGAGGAGAAGGGCGAGGGAGGGACGAGGGGTCGAAAGGGAGGTGCCATATTCGTCGCAAGTCGGAGGTGGCGAATCTCAAGGTGACTTTGGGGTACCTCTAGGACGGAATACGACGCAGCCAAACAAGGCGGGAGGACGGAGCTTGAATCTGGGACAGGAAACAGGAAAAGCCAGGGCTGTTGGCTGGGACGATGTAATGGGTGGGCGCGGCAGTGTCTTGAAGAGTGGAGTGGGCAGCCGGTTTTTAGGGATCGGCAAGTCAATTGTGACGGCTCCAGTGTCTGCCTCCTAAGCTTCTCAGTACCTTACCTTACCTACCTCAAGGTAGGTACCTAAGGTACCTGGAGGGGCCGTTAAGCGCGGTGCGCTCCAAGGGGCCGTACCGCTATGGGCCTGCCCTGTGAGGTGTGCTGACTGCCCTGTCCGGGGTCGAGGTGTCCCACCTGGTACCGTGCCCAGGTGAAGTGCCCTTCTCGTCAATAGACAACCAGGGAGACAACACCACGTACAGACGGTCTGGACGAGTCGAGCGGAGCGGAAGGATCTTGCTGCCTACTCAAGTCGCTCCTCTGCCTAGAGAAAGCCTCGTGGCCAAGCCAAGCTGAACATTGAAACTACACTGCCGAATGCTTTGCAATCACTCGTCTTCATCACCCTTTGTCCGTTTGTCCGTCTCGGGTGGCCTCAACCAGTCACCTGGCCTTCCTGACAGGATTGCCGTCCTGGTTGGTTACCTCAAGCGCCGTCAGCGCTACATCCCCTTCGGGACGACCACTGTGGCTCCGCCAGCGCGGCTGATGTGGCTCGTTGGGGAATTTCCATTCCAATGCCTCTGGGTTTGTGCTCCTATCGCCCCTGGGGACAATTTCCAAGTCACACCTCGAGGCATGGGTGGCCCCTGACTCATCGATGCCCAACGAGGATGCCTGAACGTCCTTTTTTTCACGTCTGGGAAGAAAAAAAGGCAGAGATGAGAGGGATGGGGGGTTGGAAAAAACAAAGCAAGTGAAAATTCTTGTCTCACCGGAGAACAGACAGAAAGCAAGCAAGCGCAGGGCCACTCGACGGGACCATCCGACGATGGTCAGTCAACGATGATGGCGTGGGCGACAGGGGGGGGGGGGTTCGGCTGTCAAACGTGGAGCTGTACCCTTCATCCCTTGAGCACACGGCGGCCATGCAAGCTTGGACGGCAGCGTCAGCGTGTCGTCTGTCAAGCAGTGCCATGAGGCCCAATCGCACGGGCGACTTGGACGACGGATGTCGGCTTGCTGCATGCTGCTTTGTAAACCTGCATGCCGAGTGGCTCAACCCTGCAGGCAGGACGGTCGCTTCTGAGGTGCCTAGAATCGGACTGTATCTGGCAGGACACAGTCCCGATTGGGCCGACTTGGGGCGTCAGAGACATGCCTGGCAAGGAACAGAGCACGCATACACAAGAGACACAAGACACTCTCGGTTTGAGGCTCCGGTCGCCTGGTTGTCGTGTGTCTGGCTTGTTGTCCATTTTGCTGGCTGTTGCCCGTGTGGGTCTTGTGCCGCTGTCAACCGTGGAGCCAGTCGCCTCGCCCTTTCAGTGAAGTGCAGCCTGGTGTTGTTGATCGGACGGGGATGGGACGAGTTCGCTCGGTGCTCCGCCAGCCAATAAAGCGGATGCATCCGAGGAGAGGCTCGAGTTGAGGGCCATGGGCGCGTCGGCTGGGCACGTCGTCTGAAGCAGAGTAAGGAATCTCGACAGTGAATTGGGCCATATTTTGACTCAGATATCAGATGAGAAAGATATGCATGTGAAGTGCTGGGATACTTCTCGGTGAGGCCTCAATCGCCACAAAGTCAGGCAATTGTTCCGCCATGACATGGAAGAAAAAAGAGCAGTTTCTCGGCTACGCGCAGTGCCGGGTCGAATTGGCGAGGCGAAGGTGTCAGGTGATGGCCTCACGAGGAGCTATTCCATCCTGTCCCTGATCACGCGGACTATCTCCAGCCTGGACAGAGCTGCTACCGAGTGACAGCACCCTGAGATGATATGGACGAATTGTGTGATGAAGGATGCTGACGTCAGAGGTTGACTGCTTCTGATAAGAGATAAGAACCCTTGATGAAACTGTGGACCAACCCTGGATCGGGCGACGGATCATTGGAGCAGCCGTCAACCGCCATCATTGGTCAATCGAGAATACAAGGCGGTGAGACGTGGGGAAACCACACTTGGCGGCATTCCTTCCCGTTTTGGGATCTCCAGCCCCGCCATTCCTCACTACGACCCTCAGTAGGCGACGTCGCTACTAATCAACCAACACCTGTCCTCCTCCAATCCATCACGACATCAAAAAGACAGCCTCGTTTTTCCTACGACTTTCTGAACCCCGTCGCCCTGACCCGAAACCGACTCATCTCCCCTCCCGACGACCGACTACACCCACAGCAACCATGCAGGGTGCCCTCCTTTCTTTTGGCCTGCTGGCCTCCACAGCATTCAGCTTCGCCGCCGCCGAAGGCCTGAAGATCGACAAGACGCTCGAGGTCGAGTGCGAGCGCAAGACCGTCAAGGGCGATCGCATCAGCGTACACTACCGCGGCAGCCTGCAAGACGGCGGCAAGGAGTTCGATGCCAGTGCGTGATCGTTGCCCCTTGTTTTTGCCCAGCTGGCGCCCCGAAAGCCGCCCTTGCCCCCAGCTCTCCCCGCCTCAATTGGGCCTAACCACCCCACGTTGTCTGCCCGAATCGGCGGCAACAGGCTTGGAACTGGAACAGCGAGGCGAACTGCCAGAACTGGGTTAGGGAATCATGGATGAACTGACAATCTCCGTTCGCGCAGGCTACAACCGCGGCCAGCCCTTCAACGTCAAGATTGGCGCCGGTCAGGTCATCAAGGGGTTCGTTGATCCGCGCTTCCCCTACCATCACACCCCCCTCCCCACCGTTGCCGTTGGTGGCATGGAAGAGAATCAAATGACTGACGGACAGGACATGACAGCTGTGGG